ATTGGATGAAAGCCAAAGAGCTTGCGCAGCAATGACGGAAGCTGCTGCAATCCTTCCTGATCTGCAGGATGAAATGGAAGCGTTGAGAGCTCAATTGCGAGTACTCCAACGTGCGGTGAGCAATGGGCAAGCTCCCGCACACGAGTATGCTCCTAGACTCAGAATTCCTGAACTGTGTACCTACGGAGAGGCACGTGATGCAAAAGAAGTCGAAAACTTCTTGTTTGATATGGAACAGTACTTTCTAGCAGCTTCGATCGAAGATGGAGCTAGAAAGGTAACCACAGCTACCATGTATCTGGGTGGAGATGCAAAACTATGGTAACGAACCAAATATGCGGACATTCAGGCCCACAGAATTCGAATTGATTCTTGGGATCTCCTCAAGGAAGCGATCAGATCGCGGTTTTTCCCGGAAAATGTCGAGTATCAGGCTCGACGGGCTCTTCGGGACCTGAAACACACGAGCTCTATCAGGGAGTATGTGAAATCCTTCTCAGGGCATATGCTGAATATTCGAGATATGTCAGAAAATGATAAGCTCTTTACCTTTATGGAAGGGTTGAAACCGTGGACACGCACGGAACTTCAAAGACAGAAGGTTACTGATTTAAGCACGGCCATGGGAGCCGCTGAATGCTTGAGCGACTACCAAACAGAATCTAGAAAAGATCGACCTTCGGGAAGTAATCAAGCAATTGGAGGTGGTAACAGATCTTACAAACCCAGCTCGAACCCAAATGAGGGAGAGCATTACTCTCAGAATAGAGAAGGAGCCTATCAAAGCACCCGTGACTTTCAGGGAAACTATCATAACAGCCGTCAGGGAAATTTTAACAACAATAATAATAATAACTGGAACAAAGGAAAAGCAACGGAGGGCCGAACTTGTGCCACTCCCAAATTGAAGTACTTTTTATGTGAAGGACCTCATCGGGTGTCGGAGTGCCCTCAAAAGCGGATGGTGAATGCATATTGTCAGTTAGCAAGTGGCGGGCCAAGTTCAAAACAAGAGGCCCCGCAGGCTAATTGTCATAGTGAGACTGACGCTGAAGAGGATGAGGAAGTAGTTGGGGCATTTTCACATCGGTGCAACACACTATCGCATCGGGTTGCTGAAAAGGATGATATCCCATTAAAAGAGGCAAAGATGGAAGAAGCGAAGGCTCGCATTTGTAGGGCCAAAGGCTTAATGTTCATTGATGTAAAAATCAATCGGAAGCCAATCAGGACTATGGTGGATACTGGTGCTACCCATAACTACCTTGCATGTACCGAAGTAGAGCGGCTCGGACTTGTTCTAGAAAAGGGTAGTGGAAAAGTCAAAGCAATCAACTCCGCTGCTCAACCAATAGCTGGAGTGGCGAAATCGGTGTTGATCAAAGCAGGTCCTTTCGAGGGAAGGACATTTATCTGCAGTTCAGATGGATGATTTCAAGCTTATTCTAGGATTGAAATTTCTTTTGGGTTAATAAGACAGCAGTGTTGCCATATTCCGATTCGTTAATGATGATGGGTAATAAGTCGTGTGTCATCCCTACACAGGTTGGGAGGATGGGCGAGAAGAGTATCTCAGCCATGCAATTTAGTAAAGGTTTCAAGAGAAATGAACCCTCCTTTTTGTGCACTCTTCGATTAGAGGAGGTCGAAGAGGCGAATGGTCCTACACCCGTTAAAAGGCTTATTCGAGAATTTGAGGACATCATGCCAAAAGAATTACCAAAGAAATTACCACCAAGAAGGACGATTGATCATGAGATCGAACTTATTCCAGGCGCTAAAGCTCCCGCCAGGGCACCATACCGTATGTCTCAGCCTGAGCTTGAAAAGCTTAGGAAGCAGTTGGGGGAAATGTTGGAGAGTAGAATCATTGTGCCTGCGAAGTTGCCATATGGAGCTCCTGTATTGTTTCAGAAAAAGACTGATGGTTCTCTTAGAATGTGCTGTAACTATCGAGCCTTGAACAAAATTACTGTAAAGAATAGCTATCATATCCCACTGGTTGCAGATTGCTTCGATCGACTGAGTTGGGCGGAGTATTACACAAAAATTGATCTTAGGTCCGGATACTGGCAAGTTCGGATTGAGGGAAACGAAGCAAAGACTACGGTGGTAACCAGATATGGAGCCTTTGAATTTAAGGTGATGCCTTTTGGTTTGACAAATGCTCCAGCAACATTTTGTACTATGATGAATCAGGTACTTCACGGGTTCTTAGATGACTTTGTCGTGGTGTACTTGGATGACATAGTAATCTACAGCGAGACATTGGAGGAACATGTCCAGCATGTGAGGCAAGTTTTTAATCGGCTACGGGAGAATGAACTTTATGCTAAGCCGTCTAAATGCTCATTTGCTCAGACATCTATCAGTTTCTTGGGTCACATCATTGAACAAGGTAAAATTCGCATGGATTCTAAGAAGGTTACAGCCATCAAAGATTGGCAACCACCAAAAACCGTACATGATGTACGTTCATTTCTTGGGTTACGCAATTACTATCGAAGATTTGTGAAAGGCTACTCAGAAATTGCACTGCCACTTACTGAATTGACAAAGAAGGATATTGGGATTGGTCATCCCAATGCCAAGCTGCTTTTGAAAGATTGAAGAAGTCCATGTGGACGAACCCGATTTTAGCCTTACCGTATATGGCTAAACCATTTGAAGTTCATACAGATGCTTCAGATTTTGCCCTTGGTGGAGTCCTCATGCAAGAAGGACATCCGGTAGCATATGAGAGCCGGAAGTTAAACCAGACAGAACGTCGTTACTCGGCACATGAAAAGGAATTGTTAGCAGTAGTCCATTGTCTCAGAGGATGGCGTCACTATCGCTTAGGTTTCCATTTATTGTGAAGACAGATAACACTTCAGTTAGTCACTTTATGTCCCAACCAAAACTATCGAGCAAACAGGCTCGTTGGCAGGAATTCCTTTCAGAGTTCAATTTTATGTTAGAGTATCGTCCTGACTCTAGTAATCATGTTGCTGATGCTCTTAGTCGACGGGCCGATTTAGCTACCATCTGCTCTGTAGCTGCTCTTTCAGGGAGCGCAGTCTCCACGAACACTAGAGACCAAATTCGGGCACTTATGGAGAAGGACCCGGCTACCCAATATTTGGTCGACCTTATCAAGCAGGGTAAAACTCGACAGTTCTGGCTAGATGGGAAACTAGTGAAGACAAAGGGAGACCGCCTATATATTCCTAAGGGCGGAGATCTGAAGAGATCACTAATTACGGAATGCCATGACATAATTTGGGCGGGGCATCCCGGAGAGGAACACACTTGTGCACTACTACAATGGGGATACTACTGGCCTCAAATGTGGGACAACATTGCAACATATGTAAAAACTTGTCTTATTTGTCAGCAGGATAAGGCAGATCATCAGAAAAAGGCGGGCTTGCTGGAGCCCCTTTCCGTTCCAACTCGGCCATTTGAAAGTGTATCGATGGACTACATTATTGGGTTGCCAAAAGTTGAGGATTTTGGCACTATCATTGTCGTGGTGGACCGTCTATCAAAATATGCAACTTTCATTGCAGCGCCTAAGTATGTATCCGCGGAAGAGACAGCTCAACTCTTCTTCAAACATATTGTCAAATACAGGGGGCTGTCTAAGGACATCGTCAGTGATCGAGATCCTCGTTTCACTGGCATATTTTGGACTGAGTTGTTCAAACTTCTTGGTTCAACTTTGAGCATGAGTTCTAGTTTTCACCCACAATCTGATGGACAGATGGAGCGCTTCAATTCTATGCTAGAAGAATATCTTTGGCACTTTATCTCTACTTCGCAGAAAAACTGGGTAAAACTTTTGGATGCGGCCCAAATTTGCTTCAATGCCCAAAAGAGCTCTTCCACCAATAGGAGTCCTTTTGAGATTGTTACTGGCCAGCAATCGCTACTCCCTCATACAGTGGATATTGAACGAAGTACCAAGTCCCCTCAAGCAAAGAGCTTTTCTCAAGAGTGGAAACGAAATATTGAAATTGCTCGGAGTTATCTTGAAAAAGCTCAAAAACGGTATAAAAAGGCTGCAGATCTAAAGCGCCGTTTTATTGAATTCAATGTTGGAGATCTGGTAATGGTTAAGCTTCCCGACAGAAATGTTTACAAACCAACAAGAGGGAAGGACTCAAGATTGTCACCAAAATACATTGGACCATTACCGATTGTGAAAAGGATTGGAAGAGTTGCATAAAGAGTTGAACTCCCTTCATGGTGTAAAATCCACAAGGTCCTTCATGTTAGTGTGTTGAAGCCATACTTTTCGGATAAGGAGGACGCATCTAGAAATGAGTCAAAGCGACCTGTATTTGAACTGAAGAAAGCTGGAAAGAAGGTTGCTGAAGCTATTCTTGACCATCAAATCACTCGGGCTTCTAGAAAAGATCATCAGGGATACTTGATCAAATGGATGGGATACAACAGCGAGGAGAATACTTGGGAAAGAGAAAAAGATCTCGAGGCCTTCAAATCATTAATTGAAGCGTATCATGCATTGATGGCACCGAGGACGTCGCCAAAACAAATGGGGGAGAATGTCAAGGACCGCAGCTTTACTTAGCCCCTTGACACTATTGCAACCGCAGTTTGCCCAACTTCGGCCGCACATTGTAAATATTACTTCAAGTTTGAGTTGTAATTTTCTTTTCATTGTAATAGTTATTTCAGTTGTAAAATAACTCTGATATTGGTAAACGTTTAGTATGATTCCTCGTCTTTTAAACGTCTACTCCCGTCACTTGAGTTTTTGTTCAAAATGCTATTATAGAGGGTATTAGTCATTCAAAAATCTTTCAAGCTCACTGGTGTCCACCCCTGTACCAGCAATTGTAATTTTCTACTTTCATCAATTGTAATGTTCAGTTTTCATCAATCAATGTTCAATTTACTTTCAATGTATTCAAATTCTCTATTGTAAGCTTTCTACAAAATTGTAATCAAATTTTCTTTCGTCCCGACGTGATCGAGAAAAGGCGGAAGGTAGTCTAGCGGAGCAAACTACTGCCGCACGATGTCCCTTTCTGTGCCAAGAAGAAAGGCACCCCGTGAAACCGAGGCTCGTTTTCACTGTGTAATGCAAAATAAATAAATAAATAAATAAGATGTCACACAATTCAGTTACTCCAAACAAATGGGAAAGAGAGGTACGTGGGTGGAGGTTTAGCTCATCTACTGCAAAACAGTCTAATAGGTCTGAATATATAAGTATAAAGTGAAAAACCTAAACCAAGCCAGAAAATTGCACAGTTTCACAAGAACAAAAATAAACTAAACTAAATCACAAGCTCTCATGGCCTCTTGTATAGAATCAAAGGGATACAATTATGTGAAGGTTAGTGCCATCTTTCTTATGTCAGACAACAATATCCAGCTACAAATGTCAGTTTTGATCAAAACACATTAGAAGATTTTCGGAGCAACAAACTAAGAACTCATATGCATAATATAAATTACATACAAAAAGAAATATCCAACAAACCAAACGATTATTTGTTACAAAAAGTCAACTACAGCCTACATGTATTCTCTGCACAAAATATGGTATCCGGTATCATCTAATCTTCCAAGATTATTGTCATCCATTGTAATCTAAAACCCACTACTGATTNAAAAAGTGTTAATAAAGGTGGTGACATGCCAATGGGTAGGGGACAGCAAGGAAATCAGATGGTGATCTACAAAAGTCAGTATAACTAAAAACAAACTCACAACAAATGAAGCCTTATCTCCGATTCTCCAATATATAAACTTGATGTAAATATGTTCACATATATTTATATAACTTTTTTTCTTATTTATAACACATACCATTGCACCCTATGACTGGGAAGAAGTCCATAAAATTACACTAAAACTAACAGTCTGAAAGGGGAACCCCAACAGGAGACTGTGAAGCCATGAATAGCAGCTTCAATAGAATTCAATTAGCAGGCTTGACTACGTCACTGTGCGAGAGTAACTACGAAGAATAACTATAGAAGCAATGCACATGTTCAGGTGCATAAATGAAGAGTAAAAAGGGAATGGAATATTTCCATGCCCAACATTAACCACGCACTCAACAAATCAGAGCTTTGCTACTCCCGTGACTCTCCCCACATGCAGCCTCACTTTTCAACTATCACCTCAGTGAAAACATCCAATCGGCCCTTCCTCCCAGACCACTTTGTGGATGTAAGCTGTTTGCATGGAATGAAATTTCGCATTTTCCAGAACTTCAGTTATACATAACTATATGGTCCCAAACTAAGTCCAACTCCATCTAATGGGAATTTTACACTGAGAGGGAAAGAAATTATAGTGCAATGGCATGCAAAAGCTTCTTGTTCATGGAATTTATAAATGAACACAAACTTGAAAAAAATAAAAAACTAGAAAACTCACGGTGCTGCCAAGTGTTCCCAGCAAGATCTGTAGCCTGCCTTGTTGCTTCTCCGACTTTCTTCCCCCGTCTCCCAAGCACACACCTCACACTTTTCATCGTGTCTAGAACAAAAAATGAAAAATAAACATCACTAACTTCAGAATTCATCATAGTAAAACTCCAAATCAAGCAGTTCATCAGAAATAATACCACTACCATATTTAGACACGCCAAATTCATTCCTCTAATTTTAGTGACAGTTGAATATAAAAGGTTTATCACCTCATACGCCAAATAAAATATAGTAAAAAAGCATTACAATAGCTAGATAACACAAACAGAGTAGAATCACAAAAGAAAATGTTGACAAACCAGTGACCTATTTTTGCTGTAATTACGTTAAATCAGCACCTCAAAGTTCAAAACTTGTGCGTGCAGCTGGGTATTCCTAGTAATTCAGGCATATAAATATACATCAATGTTTTCTCTGTTTATGTTCTTATATATAATAAAACACGCCTACATTAAAAAGAAAACGAATATAAAACCCATATGGAAAAATCATATATTTTAATCCCCATATCAATTTTCAACAAGAGAAAAAATCCAAATATGCAATTAAGGGGATTGAATATACTTTTGAAAAGTACTGAATTTCAAATTGGCGGAGGAGGAATTGCTGGAAGTTGCAGGCGAGTGATTGACAGAGGGATTATCAGATCCACAATCGTAATCCCTCGGTATCGTCGATTCCATCACCAATGCTTGGCTCCATCTCGCCGATTTCTTGGATTTCACACTCCCAGCCAATTTAGTAAATTACTATTATTACTCTCCTTTGTCGTTCTCGTAATTTAAATTTGAGTTAATTGTTCCCACGGTCATTGAACTTAATTTTACGTCTTTGATTGGTCACTGAAATTTAAAATGTCAAAATATGGTCACTAAACTTAGATCAATGTCAAGTTTAGTCACTAATTTTGAAAAAAATTGTACATTACTCATTTAATTTTGAAAATATTATATATTACTCATTAACCTTTGAAAAATGTTGTACATTACTCACTATAAACTCGATATTTTCAAAATTTAACAATTATGCTAGTGAGTAACGTATGATATATTCAAAAATTCAGTGGTCAAAACTCGACATTTTAAATTTCAGTAAGCAATCTAAAACATGAACCTAAGTTCAGTGAACAATCGAAGACATTGACCAAAGTTTAATGGCTAAAACTTGAAATTTTAAACTTTAGTGACCAATCAAATACATGAACCTAAGTTCAGTGATCATTAAAACAATTAACTCTTTAAATTTATATCAGTCATATTTGAATTATCTACTTGCTTCAATGCCTCCCATTGGCACTCCCACCAGGGGTCAATTTTTAAAATGTCTTGTCTACCTTTTACTCTGACCAAATTTTTTTTATCATTAATAACAGTAGGCAACTTTTTCATGCATTAAAGATAAAATTACTTATACAATTACAAAAATATGATATTATTTCTAAAAAATATATAATATCCTTTAAAACTTAAAGAATTCTAAACTCCTCCACTTAAAATTTTAAAATCAAGTCACTTTCTTTATCTGTTTATTTCAACACAAATAAAAATTGTTTCATTTTCATCTATTTCAACCTTGAAATTTCATAATTTATCAAACGCTCAACAAGAAAATATTGTTTCTACCCATCACATAAAATCGATAAGTATATTTACATAATATTAATTTCATTTTCATTGAATTAGTACAATATTTTAATCGTTAAATCTTATTTTTACATAGGCAGATGAATTTTTACAATTTTAAATAGATTTATAATTTTTTAAGCAAAAAAAAAAAAAATCATCTACATAGACTAACAGTCGACTGGGAACAGTCGACCTGCCGTCTAGATCGGCTAGAAAATCGATAGCCCAATTGGTTGGGCTATCTATTTCCAAACAACTAGATCCAGCGAGCTGGAAACAACCAGCCTAGTCAGCTTTTCTTCCTCTTTTTGTCTCATAATTATATTTTTTAATAAGTTATATTTTCTAATGCAGATATGGGATCAACTGCAATCCCAATTTATTACTTTGATTAATGAAAATGACGAACCTATGATTAGTTTTTCAAGAAATTTCCAAACGAACAATTTCAACGAAATCTATATTTTTTATATGAAAAATGGAAGAATTGATTCCAGTCGACGAGTGTGGAAATGGACAAATGAAAGACGTGATGCTACTGTAATTGTGAAAAGATCAAGTACATCATATGTAGAAATGTACTATAATTTACAAAATAAGCTCAACGTCGATCATTCTTGATGCCAACTCCATAGCAACGTTAACTATGAAACTCACAACTAGATTGTTAAAACCCCAGAAAAACCAATTAAGGAGTTTGAGAGTTTTAACCCGAATCAATGAACCAAGAAACCCAACAAGATCAAAGCTTAAAAGACCCCTTGATTATACGATTAAGACCCGTACCCAAATTGTAAAACGCCACAAGATTGTAACTCTCGATAAGTTCCAATTGTTCAATGAAAAATGATGTGAAAAAACAAATTGCCTCTCTTTATTGAATTCTCTCAAAATAATGTTATGTGATGTTTTTCAATAGAAATAAACCTATTTATATGTAGAAATCTAGAAACTAATTCTAATAGGAATAAAACTCTAATGAAAATTTAAAAACTAATTCTAAAAGGAATAAAACTCTAATCCTAGTTTAAAACAGAATTAAAAATTACAAGAATATTGTCTATAATAAAATTCTAATGAAATAAGGAAAGTTCGCGCCAAAAAAGGAAAATTCTCGCCAATTATGCGACCGCATATGTTAATTTTGTTTTCGACTTTTGTTGCTTGTATTATGTTGATCCAATTCACTTCGACTCTCGATCCCAACATGAAAGTTGCCTCGTTTTGCGTCCTGAACAATGTTTTGTCAATTGTTTCTTGAACAAACAATCTCATCGCTTGTTTTACTCGTTTTGCCCTGATCGCGTCATCGGTCCGCCTTCGATTATCAACGAGTCTCGCTCTACACTTGTATTCTTTGAGCTTGACTCTTGGATCACATCATCTCATCCCTCTTCAAAAGGATTCGTCCTCGAATCTACGCCTGGATCAAAGAGAAAGAGATCACACACATTAAAAGTTGCTGAAACATTATACTCACCTGGAAGGTTTAGTTTATAAGCATTGTCGTTAATCTTCTTGATGACTTGAAATGGATTGTCTCCCCGCGGTTGCAATTTTGACTTCCTTTGCTCTGGAAAGCGTTCCTTTCTAAAATGCACTTAAACCCAATCTCCGGGTTCGAATGTTACCCTTTTTCTACCTTTGTTTGCCTGCGATGCAACAAGCTTGCTTTTGTTTTCGATCTACAACTTAACCTTTTCATGGAATAATTTTACCAACTTTGCTTTTCTTTTACCATATCAACTGCTACGCTCATTCACAAGTAATGGAATTAAATCAAAAATGGTTAGTGGATTAAAACTATAAACAATTTCGAAAACTGAAAATGAAGTAGTAGAATGAATAACACGATTATAAGCAAATTCAACGAAAGGTAAACACTCCTCCCAATTTTTCAAGTACTTATTGATCACTGTGCGCAAGAGTTGAATCATAGTCCTATTGACTACCTCAATTTGTCCATCAGTTTGGAGGTGACAAGTTGTGGAAAATAACAATTTCGTTCCTAACTTACTCCCACAGAACTCATCAAAAATGACTCAAGAACTTCACGTCCCTATCTGATACTTACTCTTTGGAACCCCATGCAAATGCACAACCTCTTTAAAGAACAAATAAGCTATATGTGTGGCATCATCAATTTTGTGACATGGTATAAAATGTGCCATTTACTAAAGCTATCTACCACCACAAAAATTGAATCCCGTCCTTTCTTAGTCCTAGGTAAACCCAAAACAAAATCCATTGAAATGTCAACTCATGGTTCACTAGGTGTAGGTAATGGTGTGTATAACCCTTAAGGTAAAACTTTAGACTTAGCCCTTTTACAAGTAATGCATCGACTACAAATTCTCCCAACATCAACTTTCATCTTAGGCCAATAGAAATGCTCCCCTAACATCTCCAAAGTCCTCTGTACCACAAAATGTCCCATCAATCCATCACTATGTGCTTCTCTCACCAATAACTCTCGCAATAAACAATTAGGAACACATAACCTATTTTCCCCGAAATAAATAACCCTCATGCCTAAAAAACTTATCAACATCCCTTTTTTCACAAGATTTGTAAATATCGGAAAAATCTAAGTCAGTTTCATACATGCTTATAATATGTTCAAAACCAAGCAATCTAGCACTTAAAGAAGTTATCAAGGCATACCTTCGAAATAACGCATCCGCCACTACGTTTTCTTTTCCTTGCTTGTACTTGATGACGTAGGGAAATGTCTCAATGAGTTCCATCCATCTAGCATGCGTCTTGTTCAACTTTCCTTGACCCCGAAAGTGCTTCAATGATTCATGATCGGTGTGAATAACAAACTCCTTCAGCCACAAGTGGTGCTTCCATATCTCCAATGCCCAAACAAGAGAGTATAACTTTTTTTCATATGTTGGGTAATTTAGTGCAGCCCCACTCAGCTTTTCATTGAAATGGGCTATCAATTTTCTTTCCTACATTAAAACTGCTCCAATACTTATTCTTGATGCATCACACTCAATCTCGAAAGTTTTGTTAAAATCAGGTAATGCTAAAACAGGCGCTTAACACAATTTATCGTTAATAGTATTAAATGCATGCTCATGTTCATCCCCCCAATGAAAACCCACACTTTTCTTAACAACTTTAGTAAGGGGTGTAGTGATTGTGCTAAAATCTTGTACAAATCGCCTATAAAAACTAGTTAAACAGTGAAAACTCCTAACCTATTTTATGGTTTTAGGTATAGGCCAATCTTTAATAGTTTTAATATTTTCTTCATCTACTTCTACCCCATTAGTATTAACCACAAAACTTAGAAAGACAACATTTTCCATACAAAACGTACATTTCTTGAAATTTGCATACAATTGTTATTTCCTTAATACTACAAGCACACATCTCAAGTGTTCCACATGCTCATTAAGATTTTTGTTATAGATTACAATGTCATCAAAATAAACCACAACAAATTTTCCTATATAAGCACGGAAAACATGATTCATCAAACACATAAAAGTACTCGGTACATTAGTAAGTCCAAACGGCATAACTAACCATTCATATACTCCATATTTAGTTTTGAATGCAGTTTTCCACTCATCACCTTCCCTCATGCGAATTTGATGGTACCCACTCTTAAGATCAATTTTGCTAAAAATACATGCACCATGCAATTCATCCAACATGTCATCTTTAACGTTATGTTATTGATGGCTCTGCAATCCACGCACATTCTCTATGACCTATCTTTCTTTGGCACAAGCAATACTGGTACTGCACATAGACTCATACTCTCCCTTACATAACTCTTGCTTATCAACTCCTCTACCCGTCTCTAAAGTTTCTTTATCTTCTCAGGATTGTTTCGGTAAGCTGGTCGATTTTGAATGACAGCTCCAGGTATAAAGTCAATCTGATGTTCAATACCTCGAATGGGTGGTCACCCACTAAGCATGTCCTCCGAAAATATGTCTTCGAATTTCTGTAATAAAGACTTAGCCAAACTAGGGAGGGGTGGGTCAGTTTCCTCCAAATTGAGGAGTGATTCCTTATATAAGAACAATATCATTTCTTTTCTCTCAACTACCGCTCTCCTCAATTCACTCCCTTTTGTAAAGAAATTCGCTCGTGATTTT